CCCAAAACCCCAAAACCCCAAAACCCCAAAACCCCAAAACCCCAAAACCCCTTAGTATAAAATATTATATGTATTGTGGGTTTATGCAAATTTAATAAATTAAGTTTTAAAATGAACGGTAAATCTCAGATCTCTTTTTCTTAAACTCATTTTAGAGTTAATCAGCTAGGGTAAAAGAAACAAAGACAAATAAGACTAAAGTGGGTCTAGCGATGAGTCAGACTCAGACTAAGATTTCGGCATTGGCAGGTGGTAAGGCAAAAGAACAAATGAATTATCAGTCATTGGAGGATTTACATACATAAAGGATGATAAAGTTAGATCAAGTGACTTTCCAATTTGCATAGCCTCAGTATTTATGATTGCTGCGCCATCTCTACTCTATCTAATCGTTATGTGAGCAATTATTGAGTCTAATTTTATCTAGATTGCCTTAAACTTTTACTTGGTATGGATCAGTAATTGTAGGAATAATATATGTTGCAAGTCTCGTAGCAAACTTTGCAATTTTGCTCAAGTGCTCGCTTACTGATCCAGGCATCATTCCATCAATAAAATCATCGAATATCAACAAGGATAAATATTATTGTAAATTGACCAATTTTTCATAGTACTTATTTTAGATGTAAAGTATGATGATAAGTTAAGAACTAGTCAAAACGATTTAATGACAGGAGAGGAATTTTATGATCAAGCTTGCTATCAATTACTCCCACCCCCGCCAGCTGAAGGTGATAAAGAGGAGTTCTATAAATAAAACAATGATGCATTTGCGCTTGCCTTCTGCCGTACTTGTCAGATTTTGAGACCACCAAGGTCATTCCACTGCAAGACTTGCAATATATGCATAGAATAGCATGATCATCACTGTCCCTGGGTGGGCACTTGTATCGGAAAGAGAAACCACAGATATTTCTCAATGTTCCTATTCTGGACATCCATACATGCTCTGCTTACTTGTGCTCTCACTCTAGTCTTCTTCATTCAAACCTATCAAAACCAAGGCAAAGTAGACGTCAGAAATCTGCCTAACGTTTTGACCATATTTTTGTTCACATATTCAGGCATTTTCTTTGTCACTCTAATTGGTTTTTGGTGCTATCAGAATTGCCTAATCCTCGACAATGTTACCAGCAATGAGCATTTGAGAAGAAACTGGAATGGCTCTAAACATAGGAAGAAGCAATTGGAGAATGCAGCCAGGCCAAGCATTTTATAAAGAATGAGGTATTTCTATTTCTCAGAGCTGCCTCCATCAAGAGTTTAAGCATATTTCAAGATAAAGAAAAACGAAAATACTGACGACTAGTTGCAACAACTCAATAATGAAGGTAGTTCTATCACTAATTTAAAATCAATTAACAATGAGGCTGTTCTAAGAGAGTATGGCATCATAATGCAAAGCGAGGAATTGCTGGTTTGATGATACAGTTAAATCTTAATTTTATGACTATTATGATATTTTATAGTTAAAATTGTGGATTAGAAAAATTCTAACTAATTAATTAACACACTTTTCATTCGTCTTTCTTATCTGAATTCTTCTGTTCTCTCTGAGACAAGAAGTATCTTTTTCTCTGTTGCAGAAGATACAGATAAATCTATGGGAACACGAAGAAATAAGAGATTCCCATTACTGCCATTAAGTCTCCAAATCTGAATGTAAAGTTATAAGTATTTGGCATTTCAACTGAAAGTAACTTTGCTTCATATACTGGTCCTCTAGCCCACCAAAGCACCAGCCAGTCTCCTAATGCTCCAATTGGATAGCATATAATAAAACTGTTGTATCTAACAATTCCTAAGAATCTCCCTAGAGAAGTATCTTCTTTCCCCAACTACTTTATTAAATAGAATGCATATCTGAAACTTTCAACTAGACAAAACATCATAAGAGTTAAGGTAACGATTGGGGTGTTTGGCTCATTCACAAAGTATGGTAATGATACAATTCCAAAGGTCAGTCTTGCTAGTGTCTGCATTGCAATTGACATTACATTTGCTTTTTACCAGCCTAAAATAGCATATATAACCTAGTAAGTGTTTAAGTAATTATTTTATAACTCACTTCAAAAGCTTGATCTATCTGAATGAGCTAGTAGAACAATATAAAATTAGGCATAGTCTCTCTGATTCTATACTGAGTATCATGGAAGTTAGTAATCAGGTTGAATAGAAGTGTAAATAGCAAGGAAAACCAAACTGTTGTTTGCACAAAATTATGTAGCTTAGTAATGTTTTCTCCAAAAACTGGGAAAGGTACATTTGATTGCCCAGGAGTCAGTGTATTAGCCTAAGTAGAAGACATTGCTGATACTAATTAGAATTATCTATATTACCTCTTGAGTAATAATTCAATAATCAAACTCTGGGGTTTTGGGGTTTTGGGGTTTTGGGG